AGACAGCAACAAAAACCTTACAGAGGTTTCTCACTCTTCTAAAAACAAAAACTGTGATTTTGCTGCTGTCTCTGTCCCCATTAGATATTTTTCCCACTCCCACACTGATTCTCTGTCATTTCCTGTCCATTTGACCCCAGAACAGGAAGTGAGAGTAACCTCTTGCATGGAAACACAAACCTCCTAATATTTATAGAGGTTCTAACCCGTACCCACTCTACCTCCCAAAAACGTAATTATGACTGGAAAAAGCAGCACCCAGAGGAAACCCAAAAAAACCCTCCTTTCTGGGTCAATCACCCACTTTCTTGCTCTGCCTTAGTAAGCCATTGACCCAAAATAGCATGAAGGTGAAGGAAAAATGGAAGTCCTGAGGTATACACTTCTGGGTAATTGAGTGAGTGAAAGAAGGAAATTGGGGTCTGGGGACCACACCTCTAATTGCACGTACAGGCAAATCCCCTATTTTCTACCCAAGTTAACAAAAATAAGTACTCCATGACTACCCTGCAAGGCATTGTACTGCTGTTTCTTTATCCCCAAATACTCTGTGTGTGGGGAAGAGAAAGTCCTGGAGTGGAAAACCTTCTCTTAGCCTAAAACACGGTGTCCTTGTATGCATTTGGAAAGTTCACTGAATTCAAATTGAACTTTATATAAATATACAAAAAATTAGCCTCTTTAGAGCAGGGTTTCCTGATCACACACTTTTGAGCTTACAATGATCAATAAATGATATTACAAATGTAAATAAATTGATATCTGATTTATTTGCGGATTTTCAAATATTCTCTTTTTGGATACTTTTTTTTACCTTTGGGTAATCTTTAACCCAGCGGTAGAAAATGTATAATGATATCTGTCAACCCTAATTGGAACAAATACACACATGTGCACAATGCACCAATTGTAATGATAGAATTCTATGTTCTGAAATGTAATTGGGATACGTGGTAAAATTGTTTTTTTAGCTTGATAGGATTTCATTGTACAGTGTGATTTCTACACATTGTACTGTACAATTTTCTACATTTAGATGAAATTTAGGGAAATCTTGTTCTGGGAATAACAAAGAAACAATTTAGTGTTATATGGTTTTTTTTAAGTAGATGAGATAAAAATTGCCAAAAAAGGTTTTGTAATGATAAAATTGTACGTGATGTTCTTAGGGGACAGTCACTGTTGAATCCTTTATGTAAATGAATGTAATATAAAAACTTAAATAACCATTTTCCATTTTTAACAGATAATATAGTTGTGTGTAGTGACATTGTCTGAGTCATGAAAGTTGTTGAGCAGTAAAAGCTTGAGAGTGTTGGAGTTTACATCTAGAGCCTTGGTTCTCAACTGGTGGGTCATGACCCAAAAGTGGGTCGCGACCCTGTGTTCAGTGGGTCGCCGCTTGCCTTCCTTTTTTCAAGGTGAGAGGCTCCTCTGCCTCCCCCAAGCTTAACACTGTCAGTTCTCGCACCGAGCAGCCATTCAAAATATGCTTCCCAAGTGTCAGCTTGAGGTGGGGTGGGCTGGGGTTATGGCCGTAAGGGAGCTCCATTCATACATGCATTCTCTACAGCACCCTTGCGTGTCCTGTAGAGGTGCCTGGACCGGAGTGATGTCACATTTTGGCTCCTGCCATCTCTACAGGTGATGCGCATATGGATGGCGCTCCGTCACAGCTCATTCTGGTGTGGGAGTGCATTGCCATTAATTTGAATGGCATCCCAAATGCATCTCCCACCCACAGTTCTATCGCCCATCGGAAACGCGAGGTGCCACATGCCATGCAATCCATTGCAGTTCAACTTGGGTCGCGACTTAATGACCAAGGACAAATGTGGGTCCTGAGGTTACACCGGTTGAGAACCACTGATCTAGAGTATACAATGGTTTGGTGAGACTGTACAATTAGAGGGTAGAATGGGATTGTGCATTTGAAGGGTAAGAGTGTAGAATTTTTGGAGTGTGAAATTAATCACCAAAAAAACTATATTTACTTTCTATGCATAGTTTGAAAAAGAGAAACAACATGACATCCGGACCTTCTTCTCACCCAAACCTGATTCTGACAAAAAACGCAAGAGGACAGAGGAAGATCCAGAGATTTCGGTGCTACATGAGGAACAAGAAGAGGAGTCTGCTGTGCAGGAAGTGTCCAATGTGGGTGCAGAAGTTTCAGGAGACATCAGTGAGGTGATAGACGTGGATGCACTATTTACAGATGAAGATTTTGAACAAGAAGCCAAGCGTTTCAGGCCCACAAGTACACTGACTCCCAAATCCACCCCAAAGACTCCGCGTGTGGGGAAGAGAAAGTCCTGGAGTGGAAAACCTTCTGCTTTGTTCTCTTCGCCTAAAACACGGGGTCTTTCTGAAGGTACCACGCTCACACCCCCGAGGCCTGCACTCTCTGAGAAACATTGGGACTGTCCGAGTTGCACCTACACCAATAATGTCTTGCTGCCTTACTGTGAGATATGTGAAAGTCCCAGGAGCAAACAATGTGAGTACCAGAGACCAGTAAGTCTGTTCAGCTATGAGTTCCTAAAGGGTATGTCCTAGCATTACTCACATTTACCCCAAACCTCCCTCTCCCACTCTTGTACCAACATTTTTTAACCTTGTTCCTAGAAACTGCTTTGATTACTTCTTCAGGGGCAGGTGCTGAGAGGTCAGGTAATAACGACATCGAATGACGATGAATTTGGCACACCACTGACAGTCACCGCCCTCGGCAGGTACAGGATCAGGAAGTCCGCGATCAGCGGTGTGTGTTCACTGATTTCCTGATCAATAGAGCTGACCTATGTCACAGTGTCAGTGTCACAGGTCGGCTTGGATTATGGGGATGTGTGTTTTTCACTTGATTTTGGACTCTGTAATAGTGGTGTGGCACTTATACTTTCTCCACAAACCTACTCCTGAAGTGCCCATAGGTCCTTCTGTACTTATAATCTACTGTCCAAGCCCTAACCACAAGGTGCAGACTACATAATGGGATCCAGCTCCTTTTACCCACTTCTGCAACAGCCCTTCAAACCGCCATACAAAAGCGGCCCTCTAAACCCCCATACAAAAGCGGCCATCCAAACCCCCATACAAGGTGGCCCTCCAAGCCCCCATACAGAAGCTGTCTTTCAGGCCCTCATGCTAAAAGTGGCCATCCAAGACTCCATAAAGAAGCTGCCCTCCAAACCCACATACAGACGCTGCTCTTTAAGCCCCAATACAGAAGCTGCACTCCAAGTTCCCATACACACATGGCCCTCTAAGCTAAATAGAGAAGCTGCCTCCCAAGCCCCCATGCAGACACCACCCTCCATAACCCTATACAGAACGTGCCCCCCAAGCCCCTATACAGACATGGCCCTCCAAGTCTTATACAGAAGCTGCCTCTCGAGCCCCCATGCAGACACCACCCTCCATACCCCTTTACAGAAAGTGCCCTCCAATCCCCCATACAGACATGGCCCTCCAAGTCTTATACAGAAGCTGCCTTCCAAGCCCCTATACAGACGCAACTCTCCAACCCCCATAGAGAAGCTGCTTAACATGTTTTATTCCTTCATTGGTTGTTGCAGCCAATGCAGCATCTGTTTTGTCTCTTTCACGTTTTACACCTCTCCCTTTCCGAATACACTCAGATGTGTTTTTCTGCAGCCATTTGGCTTGACGGCATATTCTTTCCCTGCGTATCGGGGATTAATTCCACCAATAAGAGACCTGGTAAGTGACACAATTGGATGCTGCAGCGGTGGGTAATTTTGTATATAACGTTCTGAATGTTATAATACGGCAAATTCCACCGCGTAGCATCAGCGTCTAAAAGGGGGCAAACGAGGTTATGCAGATTTGAAAAGTCAGTGTGGGGTGGGTGGGGGCGGGGGTGGAAGAGATCCCACCTGAGCATCAATCTGTGAACGCGTCTCCTCACAAAGTGAAAGGTGCCAATTTCTGTCAAGAACGTATGTTGAGAGCTGCGATGGCATGGCATTATGCTGGCACAAATGGACATTTCTGATTAATGTCAGCAGGATGCGAATTCAATGGGCAGGAGCGGAGGTCCTGTTGCCATGGCAGCAAATAAGCCTAACATTCATTGCCCTGCTGTTTTCTTTCACTCGTCGGGAGATTTATGATGAAAAGGGCAATGAAATTATAGATTTTTTTAGTTCTTTCACTGACTAATGACGCTGCGTTTGCATTACATTGTAACTATCTGCAGTTTGCCAGACCCTGCAAGTTTGTTGCATTCCAGGAAAGTTACTTCAAGTCGGAGGGGGTGGGTAGGTGGGTGGCTGCGGGATAAAATTTATCGGTCCCCAATAAACAAAGAAAATCATTATAATCCGGTAACATATTTGCTGTTTTTTTATTTTCTTAGTTATTTATCTATTTCTATATTCTTTTTTTTTTTCTTTTTTTTTGCTCTCCTGTGGTTTTCTGCTCACGATAAATTTCTCCCGAATTTGTTGTTCACTATAGATAATCTGTCCACTCCGGGAGCCATTTTAATGGAAAATGTAACTTTTATTAAAAAAAATAAAAATAAATTAAATTTATTTATTTTAAACAGAAGTGGAGTTTTTCATTAACGTGGTTCCCAGAGTGAGCAGATCATCTGACAGCAAAAGTGAGAAATGTTTTAGAATGTAATCACCCCAAAAGGACAGAGACAGCTGAAAGAACTGACAGGGAGGGTTTTATCCTTATTCTACTCTATGCCAGACTAGAAAAAGTTTTGCCTGTAGAGTTTCTTTAAGGGCTCATTATCGTGGGAATCAGCCAGCACGTACAGCTCCGTGCTGCGTGCACGGCTGTATCGGGCAGCTCCCGGAAAGGACAGGTGCTGCGTGTGATTTAGTACGAAGCCCCTGTCCTTCTCTATGGGACTACGCGGCCCTATGCTCACCCACCTTGCACTTTGGTGCGGGTGAGCGTACTCATACGCAGACAGGATGGATCCTGTCTGCATCCGAGCCGGGACAAACGCACCCGTACGGACCTGCACTTGAGGTGAGGGTGGGGAGGCGTATGACCGCATACTCCCATAGAGAAGGACTGGGGCTGCGTACTAATCACACGCAGCATCTGTCCTTCCCGGGAGCAGCCCGATATGGCCGTGCACGAAGCTGTACGTGCCGGCTGATTCCCGCGTGAATGAGCTCTGAAGCTGAACTCCAACCTTTCCTTCAGTCTTGCCCAGTTGTACCGGCTCCTCTCCTGGACTGAAATTGCTTCCTCTGATTTCACTGCACACTTTGAGCTCCTCATTATGTGCATTAGAAGCTGCAGCAAGCCAGATAGAGCCAGCCTCATCTAGCTGGATGTCTGAAATATTACTGTAATATGTGCTATTTCATGTGAGGAAAGGGAAAATAAAACAATATGTTTTTTTTTATTATTATTTTTAAAAGCAATACCCAAGAAAAGCTTCTCAGAGCATCACTATCTCTTTTCAAGAGAACACTCAATCCATCCTTTTTTTTTTCCTAACCATTTGTGGTTATAGAAATTCTAGTCCATTTATTGCAACATAAAAGCATAATAAAAGGCAGCGCACATCTGAGACATGAAGGAAAAAAGAACACGGGTCTTCTCAGAAGCGCCATCCTGCCATGTAAGTAATGTGCGTCCTGTACATAGGTATCGCCCATGTCAGAGAAGGGCACAGCAGCGTTCAGGAGCATGCTGCGGCTGTCGCATTCCGTAATGCAGTCTTCACTATGACCTTAATACTTTACTTGCAGAAGACTGACAGCTTATTGTTTCCTTTTAGGCTCCAGAAATGAGGCAGCTAGCATACCCAGCGTTCAAGAGGAGAAGGAAAATCAAAGTCAGAGTGATGGGGATAATGAGCCTGTCGACTGTGCTCGGCAGGAGTCGCCCCCCGCTCCATCGAGCGACTTACAGGGGGATCATTTACTAAACACTCAAAACAAGAACTCGGAAGGCCACCCCGGGGAGGACTCAACAGCCACCGAACCAGGTAATGTTCAACAAACGCTCCCCTCCATGGCCAACGCCACTGACTGTTTAATCGGCACGCAGACTTTGCTATTGGATTGGGGAGGGAGTTGGCTCAGGCTGGGGAGTTTGGTTTTCAATGTTCTTCTCTTTGTTTAATTAACCTTTTTATAATGTCTTTCTATCACCACTTGACGCCGGGGGTTTGTGCATCCCATCAGGTAAGCCATTTCGGGGCGACTCCAGACTTTAATAATGTGCGAGGAGAGGTTTGGCTAATCCAGCTCTCGGACTGAGCGGGAGTTTTGCGGCTGTTTATGGGCCTTCACTTTATAGCGGTGGATTTATTTCTTAACTCTTCTAAGTCCTGGCGTTCTTCTGCTCCTTCCCTGCGGCTTTGTCTATCTTTATTCTGACGGCATTGCCTCAGTCTTTTCTCTGCAGACTCATCTTTTTCTCTGTAAGCTCTTATCTGTTGCCCACTGTGGTCTTATGTCTTCTTTACTTTGCTCAGTTCCTACTGTGCTTCAACGTTTCTGCATTTCTAGTGCATTGGCCGTATTGTTCACGGTGTAGTCTTAGGAGGCTCTCTTTCCAAACACTTCCATGTTGAGCTCGTGGCATCAAAGTCTTTCACGAAGGACAGTATTTTTTCCTGCAACCAGGATAACAGCTCACCCAATTCACTCTGAGTTCCCGATACTCAGATAGTGGTCCTCCACAAGAGCACAATTCAGAGACTAGGAAGTGTGGTCACCCTATAACAGGAAGTGTGTAAACAGGAACCTTCATGGCAGGATCACCAGGTATCATTGTAATAAACTCCACAGATCTGTAAGATTGATTATAACTTTAAAAAAATAAAGGAACATGTTAAAGCTTATATAAGATTTTACTGTTTGGCTTTGCATGTGCTATAAAGGAAGAGCTTCTTTGGTGTTGTGAAGAGAAGATACTTCTTTAACAAGTCCATAGAGGTTTTTGTAGTTTCCCTTTTGATTTGGACTTTAACACAAACATGTGCAAGGACTACAGTGTGTCTACATGATGGGGGGGGGGATCTAAGGGAGCAGTGGTCCCTCTACAGAGGTCCGACACATCCTTTGCTGAGTCAGACTTATTGCTCTGCAAAACTCATGGTTCCTGCTCATTTGTGTGTGGTAGTTCTGACTCAGCAGGGGATGTGTTGGACTTCTGCAGAGATACCACGGCTTCCATACAGAGATCAAGCGTGTAGGATAGTGTGTAATACGGCCAATGGCCACTAGATGTCCCCATAGGACCCTGTAGGTAAAGTAGCTCTGGCCTGGGGAAGACTCTGTGTTCCCTGGGAGCTAATATATAGGGGTGCCCGAGAGGGGAGGAGAAGAGAAGACTAGGACCGTATGTAGAGTCTCTGGACAGAGACTGATTCTCGAATAGAGGCTGGTCCATGGGAAGGACAGGACTAGTCCTAGGAATATGTAGGAGCTGTAGAGATTCCCTAGTTTCCCCTGGAGGGGAAACCACCGAGATAGGAATGTCTAGTATGGGATTCTGGAGCATACTGGAGTGCTGTATGCTGACAATGTTTGTCTATTGGCCTATGGCCAATATAAGCCGTGGACTCTGGACTGCACCTGGGCTCAACCTCTCTCTCTGATATCTGTAATATCTCACCGAAAAGAGATGTGCCGTCATCCCACCTGGGGATGGCTGAAAACCTTGTATTATCTTTTGCGACCAACGACCAACACTAAGTAAAGCTAAGAAAAGACTATCTGCGTGGACTGGTTCTTCTTCCTCCAACCTCTGAGATGGATGGGTTCTGCAAGAGTGTGATGTTGGAGTGTATCGTGGCTGTAACCACCCTGAGGAGGGTATGTGTGCACACGGGCTGTGCCCGACATAGGGTGCCCTTCATGGTGGCCTTCCTTCCTAAGGCCCCGTTCACATATAGCGACATACCTTTTGCAGCGGATCCGCACGGCCGGGATAGCGCGACTTTCGGGGCGACGTTCCAGCGACGATCCAGCGACGGTAGCGCGACCTTCCCCGTCGGGCTCCATAGAAAAAAAGTAAAATCGCGCAAAATCCGCCGAAAAAAGGGTCCGGTAGAAGCGACTTGCGACCGCGACGAGCGACATGGAGTTAAGACAGCTCCATTGAATAACATTGGCCGGCGACTTCTCGCGATATCGCGCGGCAAAAATGCGCGATATCGCGGCGGAAATCGCGCGACAATTCGCTATATGTGAACGGGGCCTAAGGGGGAGGAAGCGCTGAAGTCTGCATAGGCGGTGGATACCATGAGGGCCCTGTGTGCGCAGTATCACACATGTTAGAGTTGTTAGCACGAGGCCCCTGGGAGAAGGGGTGCTTGGTGTCGTATTGCTATACACGGGGTCACACATAGCCAACCCGAAGTGAACACACACGAGTCACCCCGATGAACCCCGCCTACAAGCGTCCTCATAGGCTTAGGCTTTTCTACTAAAACTGTGACTGCTTTCTAAAAAAATGCACTGCAAGAAATTGACCACCTTTTGTTTTGATACACCTGAAATGTTTAGTTGATTTAGGCTTCAAGTTTAAATAAGACATCTCTGCAATCAGGGCTTGTTCACACCGTGTCCATTGAACAATTGTTTTCTATGTGCCCTGTCCACACCATACGTGTCTGGTGATGTGTCGAAAAACACAGCCCAACGGACATGGTGTGAGCAAGCCCTTAATGACTCACCCCTTACCCTGTACTCTAGGGATTTCCTTTCTTGCACTATCTCCCTTTTCTACCACTCTTGCGGCACTTCTATCTTTTACCGAGCCCCTCGTTCACACCTCCGTGCTGTAACATTGCAGAAATGCTGCAGGATGCATTGTGGTGCACTTCGGTAGGGCAGCCAATTTATTTGAATGAGCTGCCTAACGCAGCTAAATTGCACTCAAAGAAGTTCAAACACTTTTTTTTCTTTTATTGCATTGTACCACTTCGCATTGTAATAGGTTACTCTGCGATGTCGTGCGATACAGCACACATGGGATAGCTAGGTGCGTTGGGGTGCCATTAAGGAATAATGGCACCGCAGCGCACCAAACATCCGAAGCGGGATCGAATGCGACATCACAAAGATGTGAACGTAGCCTTACTTCTTTTGTCACTTAGAAAATGCTTCTTATTTTCTGTTCCGGATCCCAATAATCTTTCCATGTTCTTTCTCTCTCACGTTTTTATAGCTCTCTCATTATCTCATATCTCATTCTCTCCTACTTCTTTCTTCTTTTATTAATTTCATCTCCTTTTCCCCTCTCCCTTCTCTCTCCCCCCAACCTCTCAGCTCACCTCTCTCATATATCTTCTGGTAAACTTTTTTTTTTTTCCCTAGTGGCCGCCCGCCTTATAAACAACATCCTGAATCCATACTCACTGTCCTACATATTGTGCTTCATTGCAGAGCATTGTCACAGCTCCACTGCCTTTCCAGCGTATGATGGATTAATGTTCTGTGCCAGTAGGCACACGGACCGCATCTATTTATATAGCAAGGTATGTACACATAGAAGAGGCTCGCAGATTAGAAGGAAATAAAATAAGACGTCCGGAGGAGAGCTGCTTATTGTCTCACTGATATTTGAGCAGCTCCGGTGCCAGCTGGGATTGCAGTTTATTGAATTAAAAAGCCATATTGTCTTCTCTGCCAGAGAGGAGATTAACGGCAAGCTCTCAGCAGTCTGTCCGCAACAGTTTGATTGCGAGCTCACAATTCCGTCCAGACCCGCCGAACACATCTGGGGCTCTGCATTCACTCTGTGTAACCTTATTTCAACCCCGGGCAGAGTTTCATGAAGGGGGTGATGTTTCTAAATAAAGCTCGGTCGTACTCGTACACACTGGGGTGGAGAAAATGAATGTGTCTGTATTGCTGATAGCTACTGGTCAGGATCTTACTTTTTATCCCCTATGACACTATAAAAGTGATATTTTCTGTTCGATTTCTTGCTCAAGAATTAGCAATATAAATAGCAGCACAGCTCTAACTTCACCTAGAATTGACTCCCTGTTTTGCATTGAGTTTGCTCAATTATTAGGAACCTGGTAAAGATATTGCTGCCCTTCCTGGTGTTTCCATTAATTTAAAGAAATTAAAAAATCCTTTCTCTAAAGTGGAGTTCTAGTGAAATAACTCCTTCCTTCTAGTCCACACTACCCCTAAATGCATAGATTCTAAAAGTAACCCTAGAGTTCTTACCTGTTCTTCATAAACTGCTTTTCTGTGCTGCCCTGGCAGCTGCTCACATGCCAAGATACCTAGGCATTGGTCACATGATCCTGGTTGAAGTGCTTTGAGGTTTATGGAGCTGGCACTGCTTGAACTCTGTTCCTCGTCTTCACAGCAGAGATTATGTGACCAGTGCCTGGACATTTTGTCATGTGGGAGAATGGCTGTTCCTCCACATGATCAAATAGATGGAGGATAAAGGAATGATTGCTCATAGATGGCTGAGAAATAGGGGCACTGAAATCCACCAACACAGCATTTACCATTGGGCATCTGTTGTACTGCTATGTCCCTCAGGGCTGTCTAATCTCATTGTCAAGTGCACATCATGCAACTGATGTCCCACTCATGAGAACAGGGTTCTGTGCAGGCCACTCAAGTTCCTTCACACCAAATTCACTAGACTATCAGGGTTTTTCACAAAAGGGTGAAGAGTTTGGAGGAGGAAGGAGAAGTGAACAATCCAGGCCAAAATAGCTGATTTGGAAAAATTCTCCAATGCAGCTCACTTTCCAGTTCAGCGATGTTGTCCTAGATTGTTCACTTCTCCTGTCTTCTCCAAACTCTTCACCCTTTTGTGAATAGCCCTGTATGTCTTTATGGAGCTGTTTTTGTGCTCAGGGTCGGTCATGCTGGAACAAAAACTGTTGCCACTAGATTGGAAGTGGACAGTTGTCTAAAATGTCTTTGTGTATGCTGTAGCTTTAACAGTACCTTTCCTTGGAAACACCTGAACTCAATAATTTGGAGGGTTGTACACATACCTTTTGCCATGTAGGTAGGTGTGATGGCCAGGTGCCCAAAAACAGTTGGCAGTATAGTGCAAGCACCCTGAGTCACATTCAGGGAAAAAGCTCACTCTTCATAATGCAACTAGAGCTCTACCTTCCATGTTACATTCAAGCTATGCCATTAGTCCTTAGGTTTGGCCACCTACACCTTCTTTAAGGGTTTTTATATACAGTGCTAAATATCATCTGCTCTGTCATTCTAGGCAGACTTGTGAATTGGTTGTACTTTGTGATCCACTCATTTTAAAACAATATCCTGTTTTTTTTAATTAGACCGTAGATCTTCTTTAAATTATTTTGGTGATTGCGTATGTCCCTAATCAAATGCTAATTGTGTCAATATAAAATAATCATTGGTAAATGAGATTTTGTCACGTTTCTCAGTGGTGTAGAATCTGAGGAGCACCGACACACACATCTTAATTATCAACAAATCACATCTCGGCACTGCTTTATTAAACCCGTAAACCTGTGTTTATCTTATTAGGATGGAGAACCACTGAACTGTAATTTCATTCCTTTGGATATTAAATTGGAAAACTGGGATGACTTACCCGAAGCAATGCAGCAGAAACCAAACAGATCCTTGGTAAGATAAGTCATTTGTAAAGTGGGCTAATTAGCGGCACGTCGAGCTTTATCTTCTATGTCACAAGAAATCACAGCCTCTCTGCTAGGAGACGGCACATCTTGTCAGCCATTGGAAGCCCTTCCAAAAGTTTGCTGCACTTCGAGACCAATTGTGTTCTTCCTAAGATGTGTTATTAAACTTTTGACTGCAGCGTTCCATCTCTGAGCTGTTTAAATATCACGAAGAAGTACACAGATTCTGCGAGTTCCAGAACAGCATTTAAATAAGATTTGATAGACAGTATTTCCACTAAGCCTGCTGCTTAATATAAATGATCAGCGCTGTGCCGAATGGTCTTTTATAGGACCTCAAGGTACTGTCTGTTTTAAAGCTTCGGTACGGAATGATAGGAATAAAACAACAGATCTAAAGAAGGGTGATAAAAAATGGTGCAGCGTATTAAAGGGGACACTTTTATCCAAATAATGAAAATGTATCAAATTAAAAAAAAAAAGGATAGATTTCACTTTGCCATATCTGTATGTTTATTTAAAGGTCGACTTTAAAAAACATGTTCCCTCCTATTCAACACCCCGTTAGCTAATATTTATAAAGAAACGAAATGATGCAATTACCAAAAAACAATGGTCATGTGACATTCCGGATCTGTTTCTTCCATCTTCTGGTCTGCAGTGTGGGAGGGTCCTTCTTGCAGGGTCCAGGTCACTTTCTGGTGACATGGATGCTGCCCATTGGTTGATGAAAGTGTCCATACCAGGGGTCACCACTGGTTCCTTTAGTGTTACAGGAAAAGGAAAAAAAAAATTTATTAACCCTTGCAGTGGGGCTACCCCTGCACTGCAAGGGTTAAGTGCTTGTGTCTAGGTAAAAAAAAAATGAAAGGAACATTTTTAATTAACCCTTGTAGTGGGGAGTGGGGCTTTTTTAACACTAAAGGAACCAGGGGTGATTCCTGGTATAGACACTTTTATCAGCCAAAGGGCAGCAGCCACGTCACTAGAAAGTGACCTGGACACTGCAAGAAGGACCCTCCCACACTGCAGACTTAAGGGTAGAAGAAACAGATCTGGAATGTCACATGACCATTGTTTTTAGGTAATTGGATCATTTAGTTTCTGTTCTTTTATACTCACCCGATGCTCCAAGCCAGCTTGTTCTTAGACCGGTCCATGCAGCCTCCTCTGCAAGGAATTAAGGTCCCGTAAATCATCGTGTCGGTATACACAGTGTATAGACTTGAGGATTCTGAGGTAGATTCCAATGCTGCGGCGGAAGAGGAGACAGGCTGGAGGGAGCACTGTGACAGCTGGCCAGCTCAGAGCTTCATCTTTTATTTTGAAGAGTTAAGAAAAGGTTTTCCTGGAGTTCTTTAAAATGTAGCACTGTGGCATCATGAAGGGGCGGCAACAAGACCAGTTGGCAGAGCTGCAGCCGTTAGCAGTTGGCAAGCACTGGTCCCTACTTCCATTTTGATGAAAACAGATTAGGTAGGTATTATTATTTAGCTCTCTACATGCTGTTCCTAATTACCCGCCATCTGATGCTCTAAGAATTCCACTCCCTGGAACACAGTCTTACTACAGGGCCATTGCGAAATCCAAGAATATGTTTGGATGGGCAAATACAGCCTGTTTTCAAGTGCATGCATCATTTATTTAGTGTCCAATTGATATACTTCTGGGATCATTCCAAGTTCCTTTACAGGTGCTTCAAAGTTCCTTCTGACTTGCATTAGGCCTCCTCCTAAGTTGCCTCATACTGCTTTTGCATTCCTATTGACTTGTACGGGGAGGAAAGCAGTTTGACGTGAACGAACGCCGCTGTCACTCAGGATTGAAAGGAAACAGCTGAAGCATCAAGTAACTGAAATGGTGCAGCAGTTAGAAGTAGCAGCTAGGTAACTGGGTCACGTGACTTGTCAGCTGTCACTTGCTTTACAATAGTGCAAAATATGTCTGTATAAAAAATATAATATTTGTCATATATAAAAAAACTTCTACACTTTACTATCGTTGACGCCATAATCATTCATTTTATATCACCTAACCTCATATTCCCCATTGCTTCTCATATATACACTTCTCCCATTTATTCAAATTCACATCATCTTCTGGAGAAAGAGGAACATATACATACCAAGTGAATCCGTGTAACCCCTTCCTTATTGGTATCCCCCTCCATGTTTTAATGTTTTAATTTATCTTCATGGATATTATGGATATTATCACCCATCTGTGTACTGTCTCCTATATGTGTGTTCTATTTTAATATATTGATTCCCCTTTGTTCCCTAACCCCTCCCCCCCACTACACCCCCTAACTTCCTGTTAACCTGTGTTCAGCAAATCTAGAATGTGTTCAACAAATCTAGAGAAAGGAAAGTCTTAATCAAAATCTGGGGACTGCTTGGAATAAATTTGATGCAGAAGCAACTGAAAATCAGTTAATGAGGCAACATGCGGACCAGCCGGATCAATAGTTGTTTTTTTTTTATAGCTGCAATCAATATTCTGTTTCCATGGATGGTTTTATATGTCAGCTTGTCATGGTAGGACATATAAATAATTGAGAAGTGGCCAGTATTTGAATGCTGTACAATGTACAGCATTCAAGTACATAATGGAGCAATAATACACAACCTTTATCTTCTCCAAAATAAGCATAAGTCCTCTCTTACCTGATTGAAAGATTCTGGCCCTTTGCAGAGGTCCTTTGGCCTTTTTCTTATAGATGGTATGCCACAGGTTCTTCAGCCTTTGGCCCCTCAGGCTTGGTAGAAAGGTTCTCATCTGAAATTAAAGCTAAACTCCAGGCCAACCGCTAAATACATGGAAGAAAAACATATATGGGATCTGTTTTACCTTCCAAAGAAATTTTATTTCTGTCCAGTTAAGTCTTATAAGTCTTGTCCCTCCCCCTGCTTGTGACTGGACAGTGAAAAGAGAAGCAGCAAACTGATGAGCTCATCTCTATGTCTCTCCGATCTCTCTTCCTACCAACATGGTCCCTTGTTAGTACATGACCACTGCAGCACAAGTGATAGGCTCCTTGTATTTCTTCTCCCATGTCACTGCTGGCACAGTAACATGGATATCCACAGGGAAGGTGATCAGGTTGCATTCGATGCACAGAGTTCCCCTTAGGCCTTTGCCCATTGATACACCCTCTAATGAGATATGATTGGAGCCCATTATATACATACTGCCCTCCTACCCCTCCAAACATTCACCTAATCATGTCAATGTCTTGATGATGCTGCAGCTTTCTACTTGCAGCGCTTGGCATACCTGCCCCCCTACAGGGATATCCCAGCCTAATGGACCTCATGGAACAGAAAAGCAGGTATCCCGCATGATACCAAGCTTTAAGCAAATGTGTAAAGTAGGTTTATTGCTGGTTAAACGTGAGAGATGAGATCTAGTTTGTATTTAATTGTCAATGTAATTATCTGCAAACCAACTAGACAATATTATTTAAAAAGCTTGGGGACCTATTATATTTTATTCAAGATGGAGGCTAGATTGTTGCCACATAATACACCATAATACACATGCCATGCGTTGTGGTGCACTTTGTTTAATGAAGGTGCCGTTTCGGTTATTCTTCCTTTTGCTGTGTATTGGTGGCCTGCTAATTTGCCTACAAACGTCCGGTGGTCATAATAATCTGGCTACTCAGTGTATATTAATAAGCTGCCTTAACAATGGAAACACTGCATGTCAAGGTGCGTGTGGTAAAGCACCGCAACGGTTGTATAGGTGTGAAGGAGGCCTTAAAGAGACCCTGTCACCGGTTCATTCATTTCAACAAAAATCTCATTAGATTTTTCATGTGCATTTACCATAATGCATGGTATTTTCCTGTGAAAACCTCCCTTTTGTAGACTTCCAAAAGCCCTGAGACTGCTGCTGCTGGATGTGATGTCAGCTTCCCCCAAACAGAATCTCAGAGTTGACTGGAAGAGGCAACTCCAAGCTGTGCTGAAACTACAAATCCAGTGTTAGTGTCTCAAGGGATCTGTAGTTTCATCACAGATGGAGTGCTGAGGTTGCCTACCCCTGCTCCATAGCAGGGGTAGCCAAGCTCCGGCCCTCTATCTGTGGTGAAACTATAAATCCCATGATGCATCTCTCTCTGGGAGTCGTGGCTGTGAGTATCTTGCAATGCCTCATGGGATTTGTAGTTCCACCACAGCTGGAGGGCCAGAGGTTGCCTACCCCTGGTCTATAGTATCCCCTTCCCTGCTCCCCTAGGAGCTACATAAAAGGTTATGTATGGAGGTGAAGGGAAGAGCTGGGCCAACACAGGCAATAATTAGTTACTTCCAGAAAAGGAGATGGCTGATGGTGTACAAGGAGGGAGGGGGCTGTGCTAGGGAATTGACTCTCTTGCCGTTGTCATGTTTTCTAGCAAGTTCAAGTCAACAAATAATTGCAAAAAACATTGCAAGTAAGCATTTAAAGTGCTGGATTTTTCCGTGCTTCTACCTGCAATTTTTTCATTCGGTGACAGGTTCTCTAATGTTATAGGAAGCGACGCTGACCTACACGGAGGGAGTCGGCTCAAAATTTAAAGGAACAGTTGGGGTTTGCATATAACTTCAGCTGTTTACATCTCTGGATCTGCCAGTTGTTTTGACATGTGTTTTTTCATTGATCCTAATCTCTCTTTGTGGATTTTCTCATCACATGCGCAGTTTGAATTGCACAAGTGTGACAGATTTGTTTTAAAGGGAAAATGTCTGTTCAAGCGAGTTTTGGGCACTGGGAAGAAATTATGACTTTCAAATTTTTCACTTGTAATGTTTTTTTCAGTAATATTGGTAATTATACAAAAATTAGCTGTTTTTGGCTACTACCTTTTTATATTATTCAAGTCAGATTGTCTTTCCCTAATCTCATTTTATTGGACATCTATTTTGGCAGCCAGTGATAAATGGTTAGTATATTTGCCTTGTAGCATTGGGGTCATGGGCTTAAATCTCACCAGAGGGACTTTCTGATTGGTCTGTGTGGGTTTTCTTCGAGGTCTTTAGTTTCTACCCATAGCCCAAAATCTTGTCTGGTAGGTTCAAGTTAGCCCTATTGTGAAGGGGGTCAGCATAGGAACATTAGATATTAAAGTGCTTTAGTGGCAGTGAGTGGTGTCAATGGTTCCCTGTACTCTGAAGAGCAGTGTGTAATATGTTGGTGGCTGCTATAGTAATACAAAAAATGAATAAAATACACTATAGTACCAAAAGTATTGGGACACCCTACAAATCATTGGATTCAAGCTGGTTGAAGCTGTTATAGCTGCAAAGGGCAGGCCAACTCAATATTGAACCCTACGGACTAAGGTTGGATGCCATCAGAGTTCCATTAGAGTATTATAGTGTAGCTTGTTGTATCCTTAATAAAGTAGATATCCTAAAAAACAAGATCTTTTGCAACTTCCCTGCCCACTCTCCGAAAGTGTAGCAGGAGCCATTGCTCTAAAATACATGCCATGGCAAGAAAACCTATTGCACCAGGATCCTATGGTGGCTGGTTGGGTCACTGCTGAAGGTAAGGGCAAGAGATAATATTTGTTGGGTTGTCCCCACCCAGCATAGATCAGGTGACCAAATGTTTAGTAATTTGTCATGTGACCAACTGCCACGGAATCCCGGAGTGGCAGATTCAGGGAAAGTGATTTTAGGGATTTTGCATCTATTTATATGTTTAAGGAACAGCTACCTAAGGGGGTGAGGGAGTTTTTTTTACAATAGGTCCACTTTAAATAGCCTCCTTCTCCAGCATTGTTTAGTTATTTAGAGTTTTCTGCCAAACACCCAAATTAGGGGTAGCCATACTTCAATCCTTCAGCCGTGATGCATCATGCATCTGCTTCTGAAAGTCATGCCTATGCCTATTCCTTGCCCACTTTTATTAAATGAATGGTCACAAAAACAATGCAATTACCCACGCAGGGGTTCTTTAGCATCTCTTGGCAACACAAACATATGGCCATCCAGCCTCCTGGCTTTGCACTTGCAGCACCACTGCTCTGGCCTCAGACCTCAGGCCACTGTCTGTTCCTCCAGAAAGCCTCAGTCCTGTGCTATCCTGCACAATTGGTTTTCATAACCCGTAGCTCCCTGCTGCACAGGACTCCACACCGACTCCTGGGTGGAGTTCTCCTGTCTCCCAGGTGGATCCCTGAACACTTCCCAACACCTTTATTTTAAAGGCTGTGCACACCTGTGCCATCAGCAGGCGCTGGACACTATCAAAATATGGAAATGGAGATTAAACAGTGGCCAGCTCAATCAATAACACCGTTCTAGTTCTGATATAATTGTTATTCTTTATAGCAGCCCTATGATGAGATTGGGTTCCAGTGAAGCTGATCAGGCATTGTGTGCCATCATATATTTTTTATCTCTGATAATTATCCTAGTTACTACTAATTTTTTTTATTAAAAGGGCATCCAGGTATTGTAAAGTGACCTTATCTGCTACTACGTATACATTACATTTTATATGGTTACATCATTTGGATAAATATTATTCCTTTGGAGCGGAAGCCTGCTCCCCGAACAATAGCTGTTATTGATCATTCTCTGGTATCATAGACAATTAAGTGCCACTTATATTGAACCTTGAGAACAAAACACAATAAACCAAGATGAATGCAAAGACTTTTTGGGGGGCTCTGCATCCAATACCTAGAAAAAAAATCAAATAAATGGTCTGTGCCTTTAATAGTCATATATATGTATATATATATATACATATATATATACATATATAGAGAGAGAG